AAGCTGTAAAATATGGACTAATGCCAGAGGCGAAGGATCGACCTGAGGGACTGCGAATAGACCCGCTGAGTTTAACAACTTCCCGATTATTCCCTGTACCATACCCGGCATGTCTGCACAACTGAAATCACCCGGGCATTCATCCACCACAGTCACCATAGCATTCTTATAAATATCCCATCTTTTTTGTGACAAAATTAAAGACCGATGCACTCAAAATCTTCTGAACAGGTGCTGTTCTCCTAAGTTCATCACGCTTTAGGGATTAAACGAAGCATTCCATTTTGTTTCATTGTTGATATGGGTATCACGGTTACCCAGGTATGGAGTGTGTGATGACATAGGCAACCACGATCGGTTCCATTCTATTATCATTGTATGGATCTACTAGGAATTAATAAATCTTAGTGACCGAACAGCTTTTGATCATCCCTCATGGTGTGTTTCTCACTACAATCTCCTTTTGTATTTCGCTACATTTGGTCTGTTGATTGAAATACCACATCTAAACCGTTTGACAAAAAAGATAAAATTCACACGGTTGTTTCTGCCTAAATCAATCACTCAATCATAATATTGGTAATATAAAATGATAACAATAATAACAATACCAATTATCGTAATAATGTGATACAGTAGCATTTTTACTCAAACTAAAGATGTTTACAACTTCAATCATTATTGGTCTGTTAATATAAACATTAGTACCGAAATTGCAGATTACTCTAGATTTCATGATAGTTTCAGCCGTAACTCACTTACATGGACATATTACTCCGGTTACTGATCAATACACAATTTCACCAATGTTATACCTCGCAGTAAAGATAACCTCAATCCAAGCGCCCACGAAAGCCTCAATATACAAACCCTACAGAGGCTATAGTATACCGTTACTAAGTGTGAAGAAGACGTGCATAATGTTCATGCACGTAAAATGTCGACTCTAACGTTAAACCGTACAAAAAGCGTCAAGTCATTTAACGTTGTCATCTAACCAGGACGGTAAATTGGCGACATTGGTGAGGTTGAGCTGTAGTTTACTATGGATTCAGGAAACAGTAGGAAATCACGGGAATCGGCCATATCTGTTGCTAGTTGATTATCATCACCACGGAATACGGAAGCTGGCCAGGGGCATGCATTATTGGTGGATCACAACAATCAATAGCCGAATGCTTTTGGAACGACGATCCATTAAGGGAAAAATTATTTTATTTTGAATGGCTGTTAGTTCCACTCCCGTAAACAGCTAAGCAGTGTTCTATCGCTCGGTACAGGGACAAAACTTCGACCTTTAGATGTAAGTGCGACTAAAGCTTCTACCACATGTAGCCAATGCAGGGGATGAAAGTAAATTGGTTCTTTCCTCAGAAAGTGAGGACCAGAGAGAACAGAAGGATGATTGTGAACAGGTTCTGGGCAGAAATGCGATGTTAGCTACACAAGGACTGTAAAAAGTTGCATGTGAATTATGCCTGATGAGACAACACCACTCATCAAAGAGTTATTTCTGACGTAATCAATTGCTGCTGGTAGTTTTTTTTTATCAAATCTGATTTCAAAATTGAGAGACTCTAAAAGTGTCAAACAAATCATTCGGATCATATATATGTATATGTGTTTTGATAACTTGTCCTTATATTTTAATTTTGGCTGAGTGCTATTTTGTGGACGCCCATCCCAAGAGTTAACAGCCCGTTCTGGAAAGAGAACCAATTCGGTCAATCTAGTTGATTTTCACTTTGTGGAGGAACACCACACCAAAGAACAGTACTATCTCGTAAGTGCATTTTGATGAATTCGTTCCCGACAAAGACCTTACCATTGGTTCGCGGACATTGTTAAGCATGTGAATGCAGTTGATCCGCCCTCGTCCAAATTATTAACACCCCAACGAAAATTGTTACGTTCACATGAACACGCATTTGGACATCCAGGACAGTCCAGTTGACCAAAATATGGAGTTTCATATCATTTGGGTTAATTATGACGAAGATATTTGTTCAAATAGTTGTTTGGCAAATTTGAAGTTTGTATGTCGATTGTGAAAAGTTCAGTGGCCTCGGTGGGATTCGACTTGTCTTAGAAGCTCATTCGGTGGAGTCCGGTGAATTGTAAGGAAAACCTGTCGAGGCAGTCAGCTTATCTGCTAACTGGTGGATGCCACATGCCTGTGTAAGTTGGATGGGTAAATTGGAATGTGAAAAGATCAGTGCTATCGGTGTGACCTCCTAGCTCAGCTGGTAGAGCATGCGCGTACAAAGCGTAGGCGGTGTCCATGCGTGGGTTCGAATCCCACCGAGGCCACTGAACTTATCACAATCGACATACGAAGATATTAGTGTCGGGATACGGTTTGGTGTGGAAGTTGACTAGTTGGCAGTTCTGGTGTCAAACAGTGTGTTCCCTCGCTCTGTTTGGTGTTAAACACTTGTTAATGCGGAAACAACCGGCTCATCGTTTATTGGCATTCTTTATCTCTTTAGCTACCTGGCATATGCAATTTCGGTCACTTGAATGAATGAAATTAATCCTAACTAACAGTTAGAAAATCTTCAATCAATCATCGTCTGATGATGATCCTCGAAACTCCCCTGGTACTGAGAAATTCGGCTATGTTAAATAAATGATAGGTTTTTAAAATTAATGATCATTCTGATTGATCTCCCCAATGAGGCGAGAACTTTCGGTCCAATAATAAAAATCCTATAGAAATACGACCTCAAATCATTTCTAATTCGTTCGTAACTGTGAAGGGATAAGGGAAAATTTACTTGACATTCACAATGGCACAAATATACCCGAAAAAGTGCTAAAAAGATGACTCCCAAGTGAACCGATCCAGTCTGCATACTATGTAAGCGATGCCAAAAGATTTGCCTAATAATAATCCCGATGAGTTGGTTATCTTCATAGAAACAATATGATGTGTATGCTTGTTACAGGAGGCTTCAGCTATTATTACAAATATTTCATCGCAGTAATACGTTGACCACATTCGTGGCTTTTTACCGGAGTCCTTCGTCGGACACCAAGTGGTTGATGCCATTTTAAGAAGAGATTAGATAAAGGTCGGATTGTACTGCATCACGCGATAACCAATTTCACTTTATATAATCAAATTGGCTGTATAGTCCGATCGGATAAACCAAAAAACATAGGCCCTTTGAGTTGAAACTTACGACTCACAAATATAGGTTAACAGATAGAGATGGTGTGAAATATGACGTAATGAATCAGATAGATTGATGAAAACCAAGATCAATCAAAAGCCGAGATAATTCGAACAACGAAAGCTTCAAATTTGGGATAAGCTTTAAGCGCTTATGTACAACAAAATAAATCATCAAATGTTTGGAATGGTAAAATCAATTGCCTTGTGAAGTGTCGGGTAATATGCTCACTCTCACCAATAACCAGTTGTCTATCAATTCGTAACTAATGTTGTCCGGGTCTGGTAACAGGTCTGATGCTTCATATTCCTTGTAAAAGTTTCTTTGTATGTAATAAGGTTTTCCATCCGAACGTGAAGATGAAATAAGATTAGATTTTTCCAGACGTGTGGCGCTGACACAAACGGACCGATTAACAACTTTTACGACGACACCATCCAAGGAATAAGGATGGTCAAGGGGAATTCTTAACATTAATTGATTCCCTTCTCGGGTTGTTTGGTGTCTATCGAGCTGATTTTCTCTGTTATTGGATCCGATAGCATAAGTAAGCTGTTGAATCTTTGAAGGTGAAGGTAGGGCGTTGGTTGTATGTTCGTGAGATTCTTCATCTTTTTGAGTGGCACATGGAATATGCTTTTCCAGGGATGGTTTAAAAAATTTCATTTTGAAGGGTATATCAATTACAAGGTATCCACTTCGAAGTAAAGTGAAATTAGCACGTCTGACTTCCACATCTGTTGGCACAGTTAGAATCTGACGTACTTCTCTTCTTACAAGTGTATCACCTTCAGTGGTTTCGCGGTGTGCATTAATAATAATCTCCTTATTACATGTGGAATTGGCTGAAATCGCATCAAATGAAACCTGACGAGCGTCCAAAATGATTTTGAGGAAGCTTTTATGAGTGGTTGCGTTCACAATGAAGTATGTACACACGTGCTCAAGAATAGAAGACATGGGGAACATAGATGTGAATTTACACACAGAACATCGTTCAAAATGCAGCACATATTTGCAATTCAATTGTGGCGCACATCACCGTTCACGACCCGTCAAGCCATGATTTCGGTGAAATTGTCACATTTGTC